TTATCACTTGTGTGCAGTAAGGCAAGAAACAGCGCATGCCTTTTTTTGGCTACTTTTTCAAATCATAGTCGCCTAGCCCATAGGCCTATATGTTTTGATAAGGTTTGTATCACAACTAAAGTGGCCAAATAACTCCAAACGTAGCCTACAAGCCTAGGACCCCCTGGAACATAGTTAGAGAGCACATAGCCTACAGAGCCTAGTGAAACATGTGTTCTTATAAACTCAGTCATTGCGCAATCGCGTGTGAAAACAGAGTTTTTACTGGCCACTATTTAAAAGAGGATCCTACCTTTCTCATACTGTGGTATTTATTTCATTTTCATCATTTAGCAGACGCTCTTATCCAGAGCAACTGGGGTTAAGTGCCTTGCTCAAGGGCAAATCAACAGATATTTCACCTAGTCGGCTTGGGGATTTGAACCAGCCACCTTTCAGTTGGCCCAGTGTCATCCGTGTTAGGGGAGGGTTTGGCCGGGGGGGCTTTACTTGGCTCATCGCACTCTAGCAACTCCTTGTTGCGGGCCGGGCGCCTGCAGGCTGACCTCGGTCAGTTGAACGGTGTTTCCTCCGACACATTGGTGCGGCTGGTTAAGCGGGTGCGGTTTGGTGGGTCATGTTTCGGAGGACGCATGACTCAACCTTCGACTCCCGAGCCCGTTGGGGAGTTGCAGCGATGAGACAAGATTGAAATTGTGGAGAAAAAGAGGCAAAAAAATGTACAATTATAATGCACCTTTATAATAAAGCATTACATGCATAATCGCATTTGCAGACTTATGTAAGATAGCCTATTATTCCTGATGTGATGAGTAGATTGGATAGTCATAATTTAGGCTAATAATATAACTCAATCACTGTTTGCAAAAAAAAACAACCTTCAATGCATGGCTGAGCGCATATAGCTCAATTAAGTTGACAATTTTGATAACTAAAAGACAGATGAGTCTTTTCATTGTTTTCTCTTTACAGCAATAACCATTTGCTTTCCAAACTATGTTTTCCCGCATTGTATTTTGAAATATTGCGATATGCCTGGTTTAGCCTCTACTATTCACAGACAGTCACAACTCAACAATAATCTGCCCAAATTGTAGGCAATGGATTTTAAACAATCCACAACTTACTTTTTTTAACCTACTCCTGTCTATTTCTGTATAGACAGGAGTAGGTTAATTAGGCTATATAATTTTGGCAATTTAATTCAATTTACTTTTGGAAAAGTTTCCCCTAGCCTTATGGACACGCCACCTATGCTTGCATATTAAAAATGTAACTGCACGTAACCTCCATTAGCTATTTGAATGCAGGCTACGTATGAAATCAAAAATAATTCCACACATACAGTGGGGAAAAAAAGTTATTTAGTCAGCCACCAATTGTGCAAGTTCTCCCACTTAAAAAGATGAGAGAGGCCTGTAATTTTCATCATAGGTACACGTCAACTATGACAGACAAAATGAGAAAAAAATATCCAGAAAATCACATTGTAGGATTTTTAATGAATTTATTTGCGAATTATGGTGGAAAATACAGTGGGGAAAAAAGTATTTAGTCAGCCACCAATTGTGCAAGTTCTCCCACTTAAAAAGATGAGAGAGCCCTGTAATTTTCATCATAGGTACACGTCAACTATGACAGACAAAATGAGAAAAAAATATCCAGAAAATCACATTGTAGGATTTTTAATGAATTTATTTGCAAATTATGGTGGAAAATAAGTATTTGGTCAATAACAAAAGTTTCTCAATACTTTGTTATATACCCTTTGTTGGCAATGACACAGGTCAAACGTTTTCTGTAAGTCTTCACAAGGTTTTCACACACTGTTGCTGGTATTTTGGCCCATTCCTCCATGCAGATCTCCTCTAGAGCAGTGATGTTTTGGGGCTGTCGCTGGGCAAAACGGACTTTCAACTCCCTCCAAAGATTTTCTATGGGGTTCAGATCTGGAGACTGGCTAGGCCACTCCAGGACCTTGAAATGCTTCTTACGAAGCCACTCCTTCGTTGCCCGGGCGGTGTGTTTGGGATCATTGTCATGCTGAAAGACCCAGCCACGTTTCATCTTCAATGCCCTTGCTGATGGAAGGAGGTTTTCACTCAAAATCTCACAATACATAGCCCCATTCATTCTTTCCTTTACACGGATGAGTCGTCCTGGTCCCTTTGCAGAAAAACAGCCCCAAAGCATGATGTTTCCACCCCCATGCTTCACAGTAGGTATGGTGTTCTTTGGATGCAACTCAGCATTCTTTGTCCTCCAAACACGACGAGTTGAGTTTTTACCAAAAAGTTATATTTTGGTTTCATCTGACCATACGACATTCTCCCACTCCTCTTCTGGATCATCCAAATGCACTCTAGCAAACTTCAGACGGGCCTGGACATGTACTGGCTTAAGCAGGGGGACACGTCTGGCACTGCAGGATTTGAGTCCCTGGCGGCGTAGTGTGTTACTGATGGTAGGCTTTGTTACTTTGGTCCCAGCTCTCTGCAGGTCATTCACTAGGTCCCCCCGTGTGGTTCTGGGATTTTTGCTCACCGTTCTTGTGATCATTTTGACCCCACGGGGTGAGATCTTGCGTGGAGCCCCAGATCGAGGGAGATTATCAGTGGTCTTGTATGTCTTCCATTTCCTAATAATTGCTCCCACAGTTGATTTCTTCAAACCAAGCTGCTTACCTATTGCAGATTCAGTCTTCCCAGCCTGGTGCAGGTCTACAATTTTGTTTCTGGTGTCCTTTGACAGCTCTTTGGTCTTGGCCATAGTGGAGTTTGGAGTGTGACTGTTTGAGGTTGTGGACAGGTGTCTTTTATACTGATAACAAGTTCAAACAGGTGCCATTAATACAGGTAACGAGTGGAGGACAGAGGAGCCTCTTAAAGAAGAAGTTACAGGTCTGTGAGAGCCAGAAATCTTGCTTGTTTGTAGGTGACCAAATACTTATTTTCCACCATAATTTGCAAATAAATTCATTAAAAATCCTACAATGTGACTTTCTGGAATTTTTTTCTCAATTTGTCTGTCATAGTTGACGTGTACCTATGATGAAAATTACAGGCCTCTCTCATCTTTTTAAGTGGGAGAACTTGCACAATTGGTGGCTGACTAAATACCTTTTTCCCCCACTGTATATTAGGAGGCTATATGTAAAGATCGGATTAAATTCATAATAGTCTGATAGAACATTATCAAGCACTTGTCAAATTGTGAATGAGAGACTGATGAAGTGTGTGCAGCCTGCGCAAGAAACAGAGCAGAGCTCATGCCTTTCATGCAACTTTTTTCAAGTCATCATTTGAGTCGCATCATGCAGCCTTCGAATGTATAAAAAATTAAAATGTATAGCCTAACGTTTGTATCACAACTAAAGTTGCATAAATAACTATAAATTAAGCATATAGGAGGACCTGTTTCTTTGTTAACAGCTTTAAACAGAATAGCCGCATGTGCACACTCCCTAAGAAATCGTTTGGAGAAAATATAGTTTATATTTTATTCAGCTATGTTCATTTGTATTCTTCATACTTTAAAATTATATAAAATAATGCCAAAGAATTCTAAGCAAATCTTGTCTGCTAAATGAACTAGTGTAGCCCACAGCCAAATGGCATAGCCAGATCAGGGCCTAACATAAGGACAACTCAGAATATGCTATTCTGTTCTTCTGAAATAGGCTACATTTTCTTCATATCATGTTTCTATAGACCTGTCTAAAATAAATTATGGATTTATTGTGATGGTGTAGGCTATATTAAATTGATTTATTAGACTTTTTAAAATATAGATGTTCCAAAGGTCTGCATCAGTGGCTTGTGGGCTATGCGTGGAAGCCAGGAGATGTGTTTATGCTAATTAACAGTCAATTACCGTGAGACCGGCAGTTATTTGCATGACAAAATTTCATGACCACCATAGCCCTATATGGGACCGGTTCGTCAGGGCCGATGTAGATCTTTACTCAAGAAAACCTGCATTGTCGTCTGTTCATCTGAATGAGGGATCTGGGCGCTCCGTTGGGAATAGATGCTTTGGTGTATCAGTGGCCTCAGACCCTGCTCTATCCGATGGACCTAATTCAGTTGGCCCAGACAACCCTGGTTCCCGGAGATCATCCACGTGTTGGGCTGGGACCCGTGGAGGGTTCCGTGTCGTCAGGATCTATTGTCCCAGGCACCCACGACCGCAGATATGGCATCTGTGGTTGTATACATATGTTGTTTTGGACTTGGGCTCGCAATGTAAGTATTGTTCTTGGAACCGTGGGTTCTATGGACTTGGGCTGCAGTGGCAGCGTGTCTGCACATAGCCAAATTGCAGCAGGTTCTGGTTCCCTATATGGGGCTCAGCCAGTTCAGGCTTCTCAGGGAAGTATTAGGGGAAAAGGTGGTTTCTGTAACCCATTTTTGGAGCTGGTGGAACTTGTGTGTGCTTGGGCTGCTGTGGGCCTCCTAGTTTGTACTCTGTGAGCCGGATTGGGGCGTGCTTGTATATCCCCATAGTATGTTATACCGAGTGACTGACTGAAAGGGAATGTACAGTTATGAATATAACTACTGTTCCCTAAAGGAGGGAACGAGGTATAACATATTTTGGGCCTGTGCCGTCAGGTGATTTGAGCTCGCTGAAGAGCGGTACTGAATTGAGGAAATGAATGCGAGCCCTGGTATTTTAGCCAGGAAGGCTAGAATTCCGAGGGCGCGCTCGGTATCCGTTGGGCGTGATTTCAGGTTTCTTCAGGTGAATACGATTGGTCGTTGACTCCCCCATAGTATGTTATACCTTGTTCCCTTCTACAGAGAACAGTAGTTATACTAATAACTATATGTTCTACTCTGTTTCTCAGATCCTGAACCGATGGTTTGAGTCAGAGCTGTCTATATAGCTACAATATTGAATAAGAATATTGACATTGCTGTCTAACCCTTCCTCATCTGATTCTAGTTGTGTCCATGTTGCAAAGCTTTACAGCGTCTTCTGTGCCTTGCTGAATATCTATGCTATTTATTTCTAATTCTCAGATCCTGAACCGTTGGTTTGAGTCTGAGCCTCTTAAAGCCACACTGGCTACAGATGCTGTGATAGGAGCTATGACCAGCCCTAACAGCCCGGGCAGTGGGTGAGACACAGACACAGACAGACAGACAGACAGACAGACAGACAGACAGACAGACAGACAGACAGACAGACAGACAGACAGACAGACAGACAGACAGACAGACAGACAGACAGACAGACAGACAGACAGACAGACAGACACAGACACACACATCCCTCAGAATTAAATAGAACATTATATTGTATATATGGTGTGGACAATAAAGTTTCCAACTTTGTACCCACCCCCCTGCAGGTATGTCCTCCTTCATCATGTGATGGGGGAGCTGGAGAAGGAGAAGGGAGCGTGGGGTTATGTGGAGGGGGGCATGGGAGGGGTGTCCAAGGCCATCGCTAGCTCCGCCCGCTCCCACGGAGCAGACATCTTTACTGAACAGGTCAGCTGGCTGGATAAGCACTGCTCTCACATTTGTTCTATTCCATAGTGTTGTTCAGTTTATGATCAACTGTAATGGTCCAGCTGATTATAATATAATATATAATCATATTATAATACATAAACATACATACAACCATATAGGACAGATTTCATTTTCCCAGGAGTGGTTAACTAGTGGTTCCCTAGTTGGTAACTCAACCTTTTGAATATAATAGCTAATGGGTCATATAACGTGTTCTTGTGTGATATGTGTGTGTGGGGGTGTGCATGCATATGTGTGGGTTACAGGATGTGCATCAGGTCCTGGTAGGGTCAGATGGCAGTGCCAAGGGGGTGGTCCTGAAGGATGGCACAGAGATCCACAGCAGAGTGGTACTGTCCAACGCTACACCCTACGTCACATTTAAAACACTCACCCCTCAGGTAATGCATTTTACAGGTAACACACTTTCACATCTTAACACACCTCAAAACTGGTGATTAACTTTGATCTCCAGTCAGATTGAATGTGAGACTACAGAGTCTGGCAATGCGATACTGTCCCGTTGGAGAACAAGCTAAAAATTCCATAGCTCATATACATACATTACATAGATCAAACTTCATTCAAGATTCAGAAAAGACAATAGCCTATATACATTACATTCAGGAAGACAACAAAAATAGTACAACAAATATTGTGCTCAGAAGTGTAATATTGTGTTTGTGTCCTCTTACCTTAACCCTAACCCCTCTGTTTTTCTCCTCACAGAGTGCTCTTTCTCCAGCATTCATCAAAGCTGTAGATCAGATAGACTACACCTCCCCTGTCACTAAGATTAATGGTACGACCATTCTCATCTACCTCATACTTTTCTTTTGTGTTGTTGAACTACAGTACCAGTGAAAAGTTTGGACACGGCTACTCATTCAAGGGTTTTTCTTTATTTTTTACTATTTTCTACTTTGTAGAATAATAGTGAAGAAATCTAAACTATGAAATAACACATATGGAATAATGTAGTAACCAAAAAAGTGTTAAACAAATCAAAATATATTTTAGATTTTAGATTCTTCAAATAGCCACCCTTTGCCTTCATGACAGCGTTACACACTCTTGGCATTCTCTCAACCAGCTTCACCTGGAATGCTTTTCCAACAGTCTTGAATGAGTTCCCACATATGCTTAGCACTTGTTGGCTGCTTTTCCTTCACTCTGCCGTCCGACTGAGTTGAGGTCGGGGAATTGTGGAGGCCAGGTCATCTGATGCAGCACTCCATCACTCTCCTTCTTGGTCAAATAGCCCTTACACAGCCTGGAGGTGTGTTGGGTCATTGTCCTGTTGAAAAACAAATGATAGTCCCACTAAGCCCAAACCAGATGGGATGGTGTATCGCTGCAGTATGCTCTGGTAGCCATGCTGGTTAAGTGTGCCTTGAATTCTAAATAAATCACAGACAGTGTCACCAACAAAGCACCCCCACACCAAAACACCTCCTCCTCCATGCTTTACGGTGGGAACTACACATGCGGAGATCATCCGTTCACCCACACCGCGTCTCACAAAGACACGGCGGTTGGAACCAAAAATCCCCAATTCGGACTCCAGACCAAAGGACAAATTTCCACCAGTCTAATGTCCATTGCTCGTGTTTCTTGGCCCAAGCAGGTCTCTTCATCTTATTGGTGTCCTTTAGTAGTGGTTTCTTTGCAGCAATTCGACCTTGAAGTCTGATTCACACAGACACATCTCACCATCAACTGTTCAGATGGGACTGTGACTTGAGCTCTGTGAAGCATTTATTTGGGCTGCAATTTCTGAGGCTGGTAACTCTAATGAACTTATCCTCTGCAGCAGAGGTAACTCTGGGTCTTCCATTCCTGTGGTGGGCCTCATGAGAGCCAGTTTCATCATAGTGCTCAATGGTTTTTGCAACTGCACTTGAAGAAACTTTCAAAGTTCTTGAAATGTTCTGTATTGACTGACTTTCTTGTCTTAAAGTAATGATGGACTGTTGTTTCTCTTTGCTTATTTGAGCTGTTCTTGCATTAATATGGACTTGGTCTTTTACCAAATAGGGCTATCTTCTGTAAACCGCCTCTACCTTGTCACAACACAACTGATTGGCTCAAACGCATTAAGAAATAAAGAAATTCCACAAATTAACTTTTAAGAAGGCAGACCTGTTAATTGAAATGCATTCCAGGTGACTACCACATGAAGCTGGTTGAGAGAATGCTACGAGTGTGCAAAGCTGTCATCAAGGCAAAGGGTGGCTATTTGAAGAATCTCAAATATAAAATATATTTTGATTTGTTTAACACTTTAATGGTTACTACATGATTCCATATGTGTTATTTCATAGTTTTGATCTCTTCACTGTTATTATACAATGTAGAAAATAGTAAAAATAAAGAAAATCCTTGAATGAGTAGGTGTGTCCAAACTTCTCACTGGTAGTGTATATGGAGATAGTTTAGTGCCTAAAATAATGGGATAAATATACTGAACAAAAATATAAATGCAACAATTTCAACGATTTTACTGAATTACAGTTCATATAAGGAAATCAGTCAATTGAAATAAATGGGCCCTAATCTATGGATTTTCACGACTGAGCAGGGGCGCAGCCATGGGTGGGCCTGTGAGGGCATATGCCCACCCCCTTGGGAGCCAGGCCCACCTACAGGGGAGCCAGGCCCAGCCAATCAGAATGAGCTTTATTACAGACAGAAATACTCCTCAGTGGCTGGTCTCAGAAGATCCCGCAGGTGAAGAAGCCAGATGTGGAGGTCCTGGGCTGGCGTGGTTACACATGGTCTGCGGTTGTGAGGCCAGTTGGACATACTGCAAAATTATCTAAAACGACGTTGGAGGCGGCTTATGGTAGAGAAATGAACATTCAATTGTCTGGCAACAGCTCTGGTGGACATTCCTTCAGTCAGCATGTCAATTGCACGCTCCCTCAAAACTTAAGACATTTGTGGTATTGTGTTGTGTGGCCTTTTATTGTCCCCAGCACAAGGTGCACCTGTGTAATGATCATGCTGTTTAATCAGTTTCTTGATATTCTACACCTGTCAGGTGGATGGATTATCTTGGTAAAGGAGAAATGCTCACTAATAGGGATGTAGATAAATGTGTTGTTCCATGTAGTGAACCTGTTATTCAACACGTTTCTTTTGGCTAATAGCAATAATGTCAAATTCAATGTTTAATCAAATTTTTGTATACCTTTAGTGGTATTAAAATTCAAAATCAAATAGCTAAGTTATCCTTGGTATGACCATCTTAAAACAATTCCTTATGTTCGCTTAGAACCCCCCCTCCACTAGATTAGACAGGGCTTAGAATCTAGAGGGTTAAGAAATGTAGTTTACTGCGAGTTGTGTATGTGTGGACCAGTGGCGATTTTAGCATGTAAATGTTGGTGGTGCAAACAAAAAAAATGTTTTTAAGATGCATGCCAGCAAAGCCAATACACAACACAACACTAAACAATACATTAATTGCTCTATAATGGTGACAAATGGTGCCCACAAACTGTTAGGGCCTACATAAAGCTGTCCCAACAGCAGAGTCCCAACACCTTACCACTGCTACACCTGGCTATCAGCGGAGCCTTGTCTGGCAGCGAAACAGTTCATTCAGACTAATTTACTGCCTTTTTTAAAAACATAGCTGATATGGCTGACATGCTTAAACAAATGTGGTTTCTACTGACAATTGAGATGTACAAACTATGGCATTAGAGAACGACGAGCGGATAAGAGGCAATCCGTAATTTCGATTAAGATATTAATGAGCGAGCTAGGACGGACGTAGTCAATATAACTATTTGTTCAGCACTTTTGAAATGTACAGCGAAAGAATTCAGAACATGGGCCATTCTTACAGTATTCTCTCTGTACACCAAGTCAGAACCGTAGGATAAATAAAGGGGTCATATAAGCAGACAATGAAAGCTCTTACAATATTCAATGATTACATTTCTCTAAAACAGGCTATAGGCTACATGTGCACCACCAAGTCAGAACAGTAGGCTAAGTTAAGAGGGGGAAAGGGACCAAATTATTAGTGTGAGGCACATGGGCTACTAACAGCTTACTACACAACATACACTTAGTATTACTTTCTTAGCTACAGCATACATATCTCCCTGGCATATTACATCATTATGCAACAGCATACAAGACAATTTTGGACTCACCTTGTTGTTCTGTGATCACTTGAACAGGAAGGTGGTGCGGCTGTCCCTGTTGTGGGCAAATTTGTCATCAAACTTTGTCATCAATGTCTGGCATTCTCTGGATTTATGGTGCTTTCAAGACAACTGGGAACTCTGAAAAAAACAAGGTTGAATCATGATGTCAGTGATCTTCTTGTCGGAGATCTAGAAAGAGGCCCGAGTTCCCGACTTGGAATTCCGAGTTTGATGACCGTTCAAAATGTATTTTCCCAGTCGGAGCTCGTTTTTTTCAAAGTTCCCAGTTGTCTTGCACTCACTGAAGTCTGAGATTTCCCAATTATGAGTTTCCAGTTGTTTTGAACGCGGCAGAAGTCATGCTGGATTGACAGCATGGCCAATGTATCCAACCTTTTCTGGCCCATGATGTTGTCTGTGAATGTTTATCCTTTTAAGTTTGGAAAAGAGACCCTTAAACCCACACTTGAACCACACACCGACTCCACTGAATAGCAGGCTAGTGATTGCTTTGCAATGTTTGCAGTTAGCCACTGATTCCTTCCAAACCACTCATTGTTGAATTTGCGATTTCCAACTTGTTGTGTAATGTTTATGTCCAATGACCGATGAGCATTGATACGTTTTATCTATAATTTCACTTCTTATGACAAGGATTGAAAAGGATTTGCCAGTAGATTGTTGACTTGATTCATGATGATGACTGCTTGTCTAGCTTGCTAGCTAAGATTTTGAAAGTATGATGTTGACATGATCAGTCCAATCAAAGCTACGGTAGATATAACGTGATTTGACATCATCTTATCGGTGACCAATGACTTTGAGCCTTCTTGGATGGGGATTTCTAATGTAAATCTATGGCAGCACCCAAGGGACTTGAAGTTTTGAGCTCTTCCTGTAGATTTTGCGGTGCTGTGGTGTCCCCATGAGTGACAGAATACTGAGCCAATCACGGCGCAACTAGAGAACATTACCAACCCCTACGCTCCGTATTTTACTGAGCTAGGCTGAAACACCTGCATTTTGGAGCTGCCTTACTCAAGAAAGCAAAAAAGAGACCATGTTTGTACGCAGCTTTATTATCTCAATTATTATTTATTTTTTACATTGTTTACGAACTGATATGTGACAGGTATTAATTAAAAACTCCACTTTGTCCATGACAGCCAACAGAGGCTCATCAGAACACACCCCTTCTTACATGTTTCTCTTGGGGTCAGTCTTCTCCAGATGAACCAGGGCTTGAGCTGCTCTGCCCCAGCTGCCCTGAATGGCGGGTCGCCACTGGTGTGGACTCTATTTATATCTCTCTTTCTTCACTATTTTTCCCTATTTCTCTGTCTTTGTCACCTCCTTCTCTCTTCTCTCATCACTTTTCTCTCTTCCTTATCTCTTCTCTGTTCTCTCTCTCTTTTTCTCTCGCTCTCTCTCTCACTCTCTTGCTCTCTTTTCTCTGTAACAGTGGCAGTGGATAAGCTTCCTGACTTCCTAGCGGCCCCCACACCAGACGGCAAGCCTGGACCACACCACCAGTGTTCCATCCACCTTAACTGTGAGAGTGTGGAGGTGTTACAGACAGCCTACAATGACTGCAAGGAGGGACGGCCCTCGTCCAGGTACACACGCACACAGGCACGCACGTACGGACACACTCACATCCAGGGACACACACATGTGCATACAGGTTCACATACTGCACGCACGCTCGCACACACACACACATTCTTCCTTTTCTCTCCCCTACAGGCCCATGATCGAGATGACCATTCCATCGGTGTTGGACCCAACACTGGCGCCCCCTGGAAGTCATGTGGTGTCGCTGTTCACCCAGTTTACTCCATATCGTCTGGAGGGAGGGAGAGCGTGGACAGAACAGGACAGAGAGGCCTTCGCAGACTCAGGTTAGAACGCACACACGGACACACACACGCACACACGTGGAGACACTCTTAGAGCAGTTGCCACTGATGCTAGTAACAAAAACATTGTCACCCACCCAGAAAGTGTTCATCCTCAGTAGATTTTGTATAACATTTTACTGCTCATCACAGGCATTATTGAACCTATATGAAACTGACTATGTCTCTGTGTATCTGTGTAGCATTTAGCTGGATTGAGCAGTATGCCCCTGGGTTCAAATCCTCCATCGTTGGCAAAGACGTCCTGACTCCCCCTGACCTGGAGAGGATATTTGGCCTAACTGGAGGGGTATGTATGTGTGCTTGTGTGTGTGAAAATGTCTGTGTGTGTGACGGTTCACATCCAGAATGTACGTGCATATCTATATTTCAAGTCGATTTGCTAATAGCTAGTAGTAGAGTAGATAGTGTTCCACTGGGAAGTAGCATGGATTTATACAAGAAACTGATATGCATACCACCAAAACACAGGCTCTGAACCAGGAAGTGATTTACATAGGAGTGCTCTCTTCCTCCTGCTTTTTTTCGTCAGAGAGAGAGAGTGTGTATGTGTGCTAACTAACGGCATTGAACGGTTTATGGTTACCAACAGTTACCATGATACTGTCCGTCAGAATCAAAGTTCATATCTGCTATTCAAAGTAGTTCAAGCACTTGTTTCTCGTTCATGGCTCATTTTGCATGCTTAAACTACTGTGCGCTTTTACACTGCTGCTTTCACAAAGCCGATGAATGGACTCTGAAAGTGCAGTTTAAAGATTTAAGTCTAAGACTAGTGCAGTTAGTAAGTCCCAAGTTTATTACCAGCTTGACTATGTTCACTTTTTCAATCTCATCTACTCATTCACGGACTCAATTCCATTACTCATTTTTTCACTCAGTCCTGTTCTTTCCATTCTCTCAGTTCCCCATCAGGGGACGACCATAGAGACGTGGATGAGTGAGTCAAAGCCCCTGTCTTCTTAGTCATGCCTAAATGAGAAGTAGGGTTAGCAAAGTTATGCCCTAAACCCTTACTGTTCCCTCTGTTCCCTGATTTCAATCATCTATTCCCCCCCCCCCCTTCTCATGGATCTAGGCCTAGAGCAAATCCATATTATCAGAAACTCCCTAATCTACTTTGATGGCTAAGAGGTTCAAAGGAATGGAATATGGTTGAAACTCTTCCTAGCCCATGCTCACACCAATCCAATGCTTTTAGATCATTGTGGGGAATTGAACAAGAGTGCACTTTAGGGAGAAGAGGGCAAATTGGACTTGGGTTTATGTAGAATGGTATTTTATCCTCCACAGAATATCTTCCACGGAGCAATGTCATTGGATCAGCTCTACCTCGCTCGACCTCTGCCCTCCCTTTCAGACTACCGTTCACCAATCAAAGGGCTTTATCTTTGTGGCAGCGGCTCCCATCCAGGTTTGTGATTGGGTGTAAATGGTTTATTGGAGTTCTATCTGATGCCAGCTCCTAGTCATTCTAATGTATGTGTGTGTGTGTGTGTACTGATGTAGGATCTTCATTCGAGCCAGTTTGCTACAGCAGGAAAATAATCCTGCAGCAACAGGAACTGTGAATTATTATGTCGAATATAATTAATGGACATTTTTGTAGGGTATATAATCAAGTCTGAAATGTCAAAATGGAAATGACAAACTTTGGAAGCTTTTATAAAACTCAAATACACTACAAGTTTGCAAATTCTCAGCAAACAAAGAGTGATCAAATTAAGACCCTACATCTGTGTGTGTGTGTGTGTCTGTGTGAGTATCTGCACGAGTGTGTTACACTTAGCACCAGATTTTTGGAGGTGTACAGTGATGTGACTTTTGGACCTTTGTACTGTGTTAGATACAACTTCTCTAAGATAAGATAACTTGGTCAATGGGGATATGTTACTGCTGTTACTGCAGCTGTTCTCATATGCAACACAAAGAAATAGAATTACTAAAATGGACACAGTTTTGTGTACTCTGTGACAGGAGAAAATGTTTGAGTGAGTGTGTGTTCACAGTTGTGTGTGTGTGTTCCATTCTTAAGTAAGTGAATGAATGTACAGTATGTAGTCGTATATAGTGCTCAGGTGTATGTGTTAATTCTGTTCTCAGCTGAGTGTGTGGACCAGTACGAAGAAAAATAAAATGTATGCACTCTACTGTAAGTCGCTCTGGATAAGAGCGTCTGCTAAATGACTAAAATGTAAATGTAATAGTGTGTGTGTTTCTCCTAAGGTGGTGGAGTGATGGGGTCTCCAGGGTGGAATGCTGCTCTGGCTGCCATGGCTGACCTGAAATGTGGCTGAAACCTTAACTCGCTCTGGTGGGATGATGGGCGGGAGAGATAGATGGAGGGAGGGAGGGAGAGAGGGAGGGAGGGAGGGAGGGAGGGAGGGAGGGAGAGATGGAGGGAGGGAGGGAGATATGGAGGGAGGGAGATATGGACATCCATGCCTATGTCTCAACACTGCCCTCCCAGCTATAGGTGCTTCATAGCCCGGTGCACCGTTTGGGCAGAGTTTTAACTTTAGGAATAATGAAATGATTTCAAATGTGCAAACTCTGCCCACCTGGTGCACTTGGTGAGCTAAAACGAACACTCTGTTTCTAGAGGAACGATCTCGCATCCACAGACCTCAACACCCTATGAAGAAGTACAGATCTCCATCCATTTCCATCCACTTGTATGGTACTGTGACGCCATGACACGTCATTTATTGAACATTCAACTGATTCCGACTGATGACATCCCAAAGGGCAGCTAATTAAATCCTTAGCAAACTAGAATTGTAGAATATAACACTATAAGGAGTTGAATTCTGGAATAGAACATGAATGACTGAACAAAAGCTCAAACTCAAAAGCTCTCAGCCTAATTATAATGGTAGAAATGACTTTGCACTCTACAGTGCCTTGCAAAAGTATTCATCCCCCTTGGCGTTTTTCCTATTTTGTTGCATTACAACCTGTAATTTTAATGGATTTTTATTTCGATTTCATGTAATGGACATACACAAAATAGTCCAAATTGGTAAAGTGAAATGAAAAAAAATAACTTGTTTCAAAAATTCTAAAAAGTACATAATGGAAAAGTGGTGCGTGCATATGTATTCACCCCCTTTTCTATGAAGCCCCTAAATAATATCTGATGCAACCAATTACCTTTAGAAGTCACATAATTAGTTAAATAAAGTCCACCTGTGTGCAATCTAAGTGTCACATGATCTCAGTATATATATATATACACCTGTTCTGAAAGGCCCCAGAGTCTGCAACACCACTAAGCAAGGGGCACTACCAAGCAAACGGCACCATGAAGACCAAGGAACTCTCCAAACAGGTCAGTGGAGAAGTACAGATCAGGGTTGGGTTATAAAAAATATATCAGAAACCTTGAACATCCCATGGAGCACCATTAAATCCATTATTTTAAAAAATTGAAAGAATATGGCACCACAACAAACCTGCCAAGAGCGGGCCTCCCACCAAAACTCATGGACCAGTCAAGGAGGGCATTAATCAGAGAGGCCACAAAGAGACCAAAGATAACCCTGAAGGAGCTGCAAAGCTCCACAGCGGAGAATGGAGTATCTGTCCATAGGACCACTTTAAGCCGTACACTCCACAGAGCTGGGTTGTACGGAAGAGTGGCCAGAAAAAAGCCATTGCTTAAAGAAAAAAATAAGCAAACATGTTTGGTGTTCGCCAAAAGTCATGTGGGAGACTCCCCAAACATATGGAAGAAGGTACTCTGGTCAGATGAGACTAAAATTGATCTTTTTGGCCATCAAGGAAAAAGCTATGTCTGGCGCAAACCCAACACCTCTCATCACCCGAGAACACCATCCCCACAGTGAAGCATGGTGGTGGCAGCATCATGCTGTGGGGATGTTTTTCATCGGCAGGGACTGGGAAACTGGTCAGAATTGAAAGAATGATGGATGGCGCTAAATACAGGGAAATTCTTGAGGAAAACCATTCAGTCTTCCAGAGATTTGAGACTGGGACGGAGGTTCACCTTCCAGCAGGACAATGACCCTAAGTATACTGCTAAAGCAACACTTGAGTGGTTTAAGGGGAAACATTTAAATGTCTTGGAATGGCCTAGTCAAAGCCCAGACCTCAATCCAATTGAGAATCTGTGGTATGACTTAAAGATTGCTGTACACCAGCGGAACCCATCCAACTTGAAGGAGCTGGAGCAGTTTTGCCTTGAAGAATGGGCAAAAATCCCAGTGGCTAGATGTGCCAAGCTTATAGAGACATACCCCAAGAGACTTGCAGCTGTAATTGCTGCAAAAGGTGAATCTACAAAGTATTGACTTTGGGGGGTGAATAGTTGTGCATGCTCAAGTTTTCTGTTTTTTTGTCTTATTTGTTGTTTGTTTCACAATAAATAAATAAAATTGCGTCTTCAAAGTGGTAGGCATGTTGTGTAAATCATATGATACAAACCCCCCCAAAAATCATTTTTTTCTTTTAAATTCCAGGTTGTAAAGCAACAAAATAGGAAAAATGCCAAGGGGGGTGAATATTTTCGCAAGCCACTGTACATCAGTGTTTCCCAACTTCAGTCCTCCAGTACCCCCAACAAAACACATTTTTGTTGTAGCCCCGGACAAACACACCTGATCAACTCAGAGGGCTTGCTGATGAGTTGACAAGTTGAATCAGGTGTGCTTTGTCCAGGGCTACCATTGGGGGTACTGGAATTGGTATACACTGCTCTACGTGACAGACACACACACACAATTAATATTCTGCAAAAGAAAACGTATCAAAGAGGTAAACAAAATAAGTATCAGTATGACATCAATTACTGTTTTGATTGTGTTAAACATTGAAATGTGTATGTGTTTTGTGAATAAAACTCACCAGAGGAATCTTTAAGTAAAAAAATCAATTTCTAATGTTTAAACATTTAAAAAACTTTGCACCAAATTAATACATCTGAAATGCCATGCAGATGTGCAGATATCTCTCTGTCGGTGTGCCTGTCTGTGTCATTCTGTCTTTCTGTCTCTTTGTGAAGATCTCAATTGAATATTCTGGTCCAAATTAAAACCGTGTTTTCAGATTGACAAAATTGTTTCCATTCTATCTATTAAATGATGATATATCATGCAACAAGTAGGAATCCATAGAATTACATAGTAATTTAATAGGAAATCTGTGAGGAATAGTTATAGTTGCTTTATGTTGAGCTTATAAGGGTAATTCTTCAACATCTTGAGTTGAAAGCTACTTTCAAGGCATTAGGCTAGGTTTGGGAATCCCCCACCTGTCCATGTAAATTAGGGTGTAACTTGTGTGGCACTAGTTACAGTACGTGTGTGTGCGTGCTTGAATGCGAGTGCGTGTGTGTGCATGTGTACGTGGTTACAAGCACTTGTGTGGCATCAGCCACAGGCAAACAGGCATTGGATGTAACAATGTTCCTGTTTAGAGTCATTTAAACTTTGTTTATTTTGACTTTATTTTTGACTTTATCTTTGACCGTCATTCTACCCCCCAGCCAGCAACTTCACTCCCACTTGTCTCCAGTTCCACATCCCAACCCTCAGTTTCCCTCAGCCCATCCCACCTATCTCTGCTGGCCAGCCTCTTCGGATTTCTACGTGCCATATATCTTTCAACTATGCTGTGATGTTAAACATAACATTTTAATATATCTAATCGAATAGAATCTGCAGATTGCGAGTTGAAGATAAATACATTTACTAAGAGTATTAGTATATTAGTGATTCACTGACCAGGTCTCTCCAAATCTCTGAACAATGCTATTTCTAGGGTCAATTTTAGTTTAATATTAAGCTTTTTCAACCATTCCTGAACCTGAGACCAGAAACAGGCTACCTGAGGGCAATACCAAAACAAATGTTCTATTGATTCTGTATCCTCGCAACAAATTCTGCAGAGCTGCGATGGTTGTATGCCCCAAATATTCAACATTTTGTTGGTGGCAAGAATTCTGTAAAATAATTTTAGCTGAAAAGCACGAAGTGTTGAATCTTGCATAATTTTTATATACACTGTGCCATGGAATCAGTACATCAGTTTCATTTGAGGACCAGGATGGGCACAGCTGTCAACATCCTGGTCCTCACATGAAACTGGTATACTTTCCCATTTATGCTATTTTTGTTCCACTGCCAGTTTTGATTGTTTATATTGGGCAGACAGTCCAGTTCCTTACCTTTTCCCTCTGCCACCTACCTCCTCCATTTTTGGGGTAGTGCTGTAATCAGTTGGTTGTAATCTTGGATTGAGCAGACCTTCCCATATATTTGCGATAGCTCCATGAAAGACATAACTCTACCATTCCAATTTACAATATAATTTACAAACAAAATATCTTTCTCAAACATATTTTCCATAAATACAGGTATTTTATCAACCCGTACATTTGCGTTCAACCATAATATTTGTTG